AAGCACCCACCAAGCAGTTCAAGTTTTTAACAATATAATTGAATAACTGAAATGTTTTCTTTAAATGTTTTAATTTTTTATAATAATATTTGTAAAATAGTTTTCTTACCATTTTTAAGCATTAAAAATGTTGTAGTTATAAGGGCGCTATACACTCACTTACGTTGTATCAGTCTTATAAATACATGACATAATAATAAAAGTACCTTCTGATTAATCCATTTAACTCTATTACGTTTAATATTAAAGGGAATTGACTAATCATAATTTCAAAATGTTCATAACTTTAAAATTGAATTTTATTTCAAATTTTATTTGAATCACTATATGATATAATTACTTCTAAATTTGATAATGGTATTAATTCACTCTAATATTAAACATTAACAGAGTTAAATGGGTTATTCTGAATGCGTATACATTTTTTTATGTTGTGCGTTTGTATCAGACGGAGACAACGCTATCAGACGAAGACCGCGCATGCGCTAGTGTTGAGTAGTCTCGTATAGGTTAATATCGTTAATATTCTTCATCTTGGCAGACCACTCTTAGTCGACTGTAGTCATCTGTAGGTACCTCACTGATCGATCACAGTATCACATATCACGCCTCACTATCAAGACACACCTCGGACAATGATAGGGACATAATATTGCCAGACCACTTGCGCTCGGCAACACTGCTCTAAACAGTTTAGATATTATATGCCCCAAGATATTATAATATCCAAGTTCAAAACATTACGTGCTAAATAATGTATTATAAATATGATATTATAAGCTATAATACACACTCCAAGTCGCGGGGTTTTAGCGAGTTTTCTACCCGCGTTCGGTTGAACGTGCTCGGAAACCTAAACAGGTCGGTCACCGCCGTCTTCGTCTCCGGCGGGGGCGACTATAAATACACGAGAGCTAAAAAGAAAACGACGGTGCTCGTAAAACAGAATCAGCCGGAAAGGATAACAGCATAAACATTCCTCGCCGGTATACGACCCCCCACCCTTCCCTTCCCCGACGCTACGAATTCGACATGTATCCTACTCCTGTCGAAAACTCTGGGAAATATTTGGCTTTTCGACAAATAAGATATTGCATGTTTGGTTTTATGATTTCTACCTATATATGCTGTTAAAAAAGTCATTCGTTTACGTTTACACACACACACACACGCAAAAAAAGTTCTTTTAACCACACCGATCGTCGAGTCCTAAAGTCCTTATAATAAAAATAACACTATATTACAATCGATTTTCTTTATTTTATACGGTGTTTTGATCAATATTAAAATATTCCTTAATGTCCATAAAAAGTAATCTGCGAAAGACTTTAAAAAAAATATTACTGTAAATTATAATATTAAATAGTAAGACTATTTTTTTAGGAGGAAGCTTTTATCATTTATTTGTATTAATACAGTGAAACTTTTCTATTACGAATATTTAGGCTACATTATACTTAACCACAAAAATAATTCTTAGAATAGGGAATTTTTCTAAATAGAATTAAATAAATTTGGTCTGGCTCTCAGAAATAGTCCTTTAAACAGACAATTTTATTAAATTGAATTCATTACATGGAAGTTTCACTGTATCATCTTGATAATATACATGACAATTAATTTTAGATTTAGATGAAATAAGATTTAAAATTTGAAACTTGTTTTTTTTTTTGCAGTCAATAAACATTTCACTGATCTCATTGTATTGAAATAAATGCCTGGCAGCGAGCAAAACATTTTACGAGGGGCAGTGCCAGTAAATTGACTATTTGAAACTTACAAGGAAATTCAAAATATTTCTTACTCTGTAAAGTTAATTTCATCAATTGCAGTCATTTAAGAACACATAAATCTGCGGTCTACAGATACTTTAATAGTTTTCTTTTATATACTGTTTATATTTTATTTAATATATGTATGTTCATTCTTCTAATTTAAATATATGATGTTCGCGTACATAAATATAACTTAATTTATTCATTAACATTATGTGTTACTATTTATTAACAATAAAAAATTATAAAGTGTACAGTGATTTTATAATTTGTATTAACTTTAACTATAGTAGCCAATATCCCTGTAGGAAATGTTTCTTATTTTTTTTAATACAATTTATTATTTTATACAGTACCAATACACTTTTGTTATTATTTTATGTGAAAGATTGAAGTAAAAAATAATTTGATAAGTTTTGAATGAAATTGAATGAAATGTTGAATGCATTTTCAGGAGATGAAATATATATACATATATACATGCATAATGCTTCATAATACTTTCTCCTCAAAGTATTGTAATGAAATGATTTTATAAAAATAATAATGGTAGTCGTAACTTGTAAAATAACATTAATTTAAAAGTAAACGGTAATTGTTACTATGTTAGGTTAGCCGGAAAGTAGTGAAAATATAAAACAGTATGAAATTGGGCTATTACACATTTTTTTCATTATTTTAATGCAAATATTAATTATACATGTTTATTTTATAACGTTTTTTTACAGACAGTTTTTTTATTTTTGTTTACAAAGTGGATGGTTATAAATTGTTTTATATTATAAGACAATTTAACCGTCAGTTGTTAAAATGTTAAGTATTTCCTGGGTAGTTTTTTTAGCAAAAGTTTTTTTAAGTAGGAAAGTTAATTTAAATGTTTGATTTTTATTTAATTTTAGTGAATACTTTTTCAAGAATATAAGTTATAGGTAACGTAATTATTGAAAAATTCTATTATTTTGATAATTTATAATTTCATAACAAGCTATAGATATTATTTTATTCAACAAAGACAAACATGACACTAAACAGTTAGATACATGAACCAATTTCTTTTTTCTGTTTAACGATCAAGAAAAAAAATGTGTTTAAGTTGTGGTACTTAATATTACTATAGAAGTAAATACCAACAGCAATATTTTAAGGAAAAAGCTGGGGGTACTGAAGTCAATTTTTTTTTCGGTTGGTCCTTCATAAATAGCATAAATTATGAGGGTAATTATTTTAAACTTTGGATGCTAATCACTTCCAAGTAGCCAGTAAGGTTTTTAAACATCATGAAATTTTTTTTTTGGAAATATTTCATGAAAGTCATATCAAATTAATTTTAATTTAAAAACATAGTATGTAGTGCAGTAAATATCACTATTTAGTTCAATCTTAAGTTTAAAATGTTATGGAAATATTGCTTACATCGCACATTATATAAATTACATAATAATTATCTATATTTTATGTATATCCCCCAACGTCGTGTTTCGAAATTCAATTAATATAATAATTAATATAATCACTAATCAGGTATGAATTCAGTCCGACCATTTAGTGACGATTTTATGAAGTATATCAACAAGTAAAGGTTAAAAGTTTCAAGTTTGAAATATTTCAAAGTGAAAATTGCGTGTGAAATATTTCATACTCATAACCCTACTACCCAGTTCTTTTTCCAATTTGGGTGTATTAGGTAATTATTAATATTTAATATACTTAATGAAGTAATTTTGCAATAACATTGACTGTACATAAGTTACAATAATATTATCAGCTAAGTATGTATATATTAATTAATTAATATACAATTTAGTATTGATTGTACGTATTATATTATAAAATTAGATACATATATGATATACATTGTTGAATTCAGTTAACTTAAATACACTCAATATCCTATATGGTTAGGATATGTTTTATATATATTTACTCAATAATTTATATACTGAATTTGTAGTATTTATAATAATATGGTAATATCCAGTAGTAGGCACTCATTTATCTTGAGCCCTCTTCCCCCCTCAATTTTTGTCACTACATTTAATTTGTATTAAATTTACCATTTGTTTTATTTTAAAACTGCTAGATCAAAGGATAATGGGTGAATTTTGGTCAGTTTATGGATACATATTATTATTAAATCAAAGCTTTTATTTTTAACCATTGTTATTCTAACTTAAAACATGCATAGTATTGTGGTAATTATTGACAGTGTATCTTATTGAAGTTTACCAGTTCGCCTAGGCCAATTCGGGGACACAACAATAAGAAAACCAATCCATTTTCAATATTTCAATATGTCACATTACGACACGGATTGGGCACACGGTTGTTGTTTAATGAACTTAAGTGGCGAAGAAACTCACAATAATTTATAGCAATATGTCAATTTAGTGAATATAATATATTAGTATACTCCATGCCAAATGTTTATGATATTTAGTAGGAAATAAATTATGCTGAATAGTGTTATAATAAAGTCTACATAATATTTGTAATATATAATGATTTATGGGATAAACACCAACGCGATACATTTACGTGAGCAGAGTAAAAGTATTCATTTTACTCGATAAATTGTTTTTTACCCGCCCACCACAGAAACCAGCATTTTAGTCGGTTCCATTGCATGGTGTCACAAGTACCTAGGTATAGGTATACGTAATCGGTAGGTGCCTAAAGCAGGAGGACGATAATTATAATACTTTTCTTCCTTTTTTTTTACATATTATATTTCATTAATATACAGGATGTCCAATGCCATAATAGTTTTTGTAGTTCTCTGACAAATGAGCTGTATGTTATTAAAATGAACTTTTCTTTACCAGCATTTTGGACCAAACTCTAAAGAGTAAACCGGTATTTCTAAATAGTATACATGCTAAAATTATAATGGTTTAAATGTTGATATATTTACATTAATGTTACTATATTATAATTTGTTATCTTTAATATTATCAACATAAACGCAAAGCCGACGATTTTAATGTTTTTTTTTCTTCAAACAAAATGAAAAAAAAAATTATGTAATTTAACGGTTGTGGATGTAAAGTAATGATTTTCCAAAATCATAAGAACTATTGAAATAGAATAAAGTTATTGGTGGGGAAATGAGTAAGCCGTTTCATCCGGAAAATCTATAGTTAGTAAATTCGTATTATAGTGCACTATGGTTTTGTTATAACTGTTTAAGGCAAGTCCGTAAAAGCGTATAATAATATGACATCCTACCGGAGAGCTTGAGTTTTGTGGCTCGACGTTTTCACCGGCACCTTTTAGGACCTCGCCGGGTCCCAGGTTAAGTCGCTGATCGCCATCATCGCCGTCCTCTTCGACTACAGTCTCCAACACAGCCACTGTGGCTACTGTCATCGTATCAGTAGCTGCTTCCGTCGGTTCTCCTGAGGTCACTACTTCGCTGTCATCGTTATCGTCGTCGTTTTCGTCGTCGTCAAATTCTTCGTATTCCTGTAAAAAACATCCATGAACGATATTATGACTTAACCATTACCACTTTTTCCGGTTTATCCACTGCCCAAGTCTATCCATTTAAATAGTATAAAAAATCCCAAGATTGAAATTATAATCTTTAGGTTTATTTAAAAATATTAAAAAAATCAAAATTTGAATAACTGATTATTGAAGAAAAATGGAGTAAGCATGCATGGTGGATCATCACCCTTTAAGGGGTTTTAACTTGTTACGATCCCTACTCTTGGCTATTAAGAAGACAGATAGTCACTGACGGTCACTAACCTGGTAACAGAAATAGGGTATACTGCGTGTTTTTTGTAACTGCGTAGAAACCTTTGCAATTTGCAATAATATTCATTATTATAAATTGTTATTATAGTATCTCGTGGGAAAAAAAATAATTATACCTACTCAAACCGTTAGATAGCGCGCACATACCTGTATATCTTTACATTAACTATCTATTACAGAATCTAATTATATTATGTATTAGAATGCGAAGAAAATATAATTTAAAAACCGATTACTTAATGTAATAACATTATATTTACCTATATTGATTAGTAATACTTGAACGGTAGTAAAAAATGTATTTATTACCTATACAGATAATAAATTGATGCAAAGCAATACCTACGCCGGAAAGTGTATGCAATCGATAGAGTGCTATAATTTCTTTACTCAGATAGTGTTATGAATGAAAAGACCCTTGAAAAAAACTGTAACTCGTATTTTATGGAATGTCTGTATAATAGTTAATATTAGAACAATAAGTGTGTTGGCATTTGAAAGTTAATGGACAAGTCAAGTCGTTACATTAACATCCCCTTCGAAATTAGCCAAATTAAAAAAGAAATAACTCAGTTTTAGCTAAACAATTTTTTATCTACAAAATAAACCTTATGGTCTTTGAATGAAAAGTACTTCCTGTATAACGTCATATTTGTATTATATTTTTAAATTCTAAAAAGTGTAGATTCGTTTTTTTTTTATTTCAAACCAAAAGTTTAATAAAATGATTATTCGTTAGTCCATCGAATATATTTAGTTGGTATTGGCCCATATCTATATTTAAAACTATGAATAAATAGCTTTATTTATAAAGTTTGATAGTTTTTTTTAATTGCATGTAAGGTATATGTATATTGTATAATGTAAACAAATATATAGGATTTTTGCCAATGAATATAAATCATAACGATGTGAGTCAAATATTTTCTGGAACTTATTACTCATTTTTATAACAGTCAATAAAATACATATAACCATCGTACCTAGACACACGCACAGGTATCGACCTAGATACTCATCATTCGCCAACTTCAAATGGTTAGCATAAATTGTTAATTCTCAGTTAATATGTTTATGATTTATTGTTTACTACAATAATTTATTAGTTGATAAATAAAAATCGTGTAGTAAATACTACTCATACAATAAAAACAAATTCATTAAAAACTCCTAATTTTTATATTTATATTATATCCCTGTTTAATTTTACTCTCGTGATTTACGTTTATCATTTATTTGTACCCTTTTTTTTAGGCATAAATTAGACATTTATTATTGCATTTTATATGATTATTATACTTGTCTTGAATTCAAAAATCTCAACACAACAACTATAATGTTGTTTTTATAGTATATTTCAATAATGAATCGTAAATTCAATCTCACTACTCACTTTTTAAAAGACATTATTAAGACTCCGCAGTATATATTTTAATACTCGTATAAGAAGATAATGGTGGCATAAATCAACTTTGTGTAACCAACAGAAAGATAGCTTTGAGCTTGAAATAAGATCTATTAACTAAAACGAATATAATGATAAAAAGCTCTCACGAGAATTCCAAAGGTTGTCGTTTTGTAAGGAAATATAAAAGAATTTTATGTAATTTCATCATAATTAATGTTTACTTACTTTCTTATATTTATTATGAACATAAGGCATAAATACGCTGCAGTTGTCGTACCTTTACCTCTACTATATTGCAATAGGTACCTAGTGTATATAATTATAATAAATGTGATTAAAATAAAAATAATTAAAACGATGAATTATCATATCTATTGAAACTTAATACTATACAGCCAACAGCCGTGACATAAAAAAAAATATGAAGACTAAAAAAAGAATTTAAAGAAAAAAGTAGTTGCAATGAATAGATATTATACTCTTGGCCTTTAGGACTTAGGAAAAAGATATGATATTAAATTGTTATTATTTATTAAGTATGGTTATTATTTTTGTTAAGGTTGGGGGTCCATCGGAGGAAAATTAAAAAAAAAACTGAACTCTAAGTCCTAACCCATTGTTGTAAACGTTGTACTGATATAGTAACTGATAAAACTTAGAGGTATTATTATTATTACTAATATAATTGTTACTACAATCGTTATTATAACTGTATGATAAGACACACGTTTTTTGTATTAAGTTTTTGGGTGTGTGTGCAATTTATTATATTTTATTGCTTGAGTCTCATTAACACAGTTTATAAAAATTAGAAAAAGACAATATTTGTTTATTTTTTATTGTTCATCAAATCACCAAGACACCAACAGAACATAATATAATTATTTTGTTCTACTGCCTACACTTAATACATTATTTAGTTCGTAAACGTATAACTTCACCTCTTCGTTTTCCGATTGTTCTCTGCTTTTTACGTAATTTTCCAATCGTTCATATTCTTCTCTTAAATTCCATATCTCCCTCTTAAGTTGTTCGTTTTCCCGACGTAGCTTTTTTATGTAATTTTGCCCTGTAAAAAAAAATTAACAAGCAAAATTTTATGTTTTTTTCTAAAATTTTAAGTTTTAAATAATGATCAACACATCACACATGTAAGCATAACAGAAATAATTTATATTATTTATTGAATATTATATTGGTACATAAAAACTTTGTTTTGTAAATTATTTTGTACAATAAAAACCATTTTTATGTCACTTTCAATGTTGTTGACTATATTAATAAATAATAGTAATGAAACATTGAACAGTATTAAATAAGTTTATATTTATTCATGTAAACTTTATATTTCAGATTTACTTTTTCAATAAAAATAGGTTTTTTTTCTGTCGAATAATGTCCCACCAAATGTTAAAAGCAATATCGTCCACCATAACAGCTGGTATACTATGTTTTCAGCTCATTCAAATAACAACCCACGCAAGAAACTCTGTTTTTTTACAGTCGATTGATTTTATTTTTAAAGTACTTGTATATATTCTAAATTTTTTTATATAAAATGTGTTATTCCAACGATAAAATATACTGTACGAGCATAAATAATAATATTTCCTTATTCCACAATGTTTTCGGAAATCTAACTTCATCGAGATATACCAATAAATATTATTATATTATGAGGATTTATTTGCTATCTTATACATCGAAGTACCTATCGATTGTATTCTATTAGTTATTGTATGCATAATATAATCTTATGAGAGTGAGTCTTATTCTTCATTTACAAGATATTTTTATTTAAAATAATATGTTTAATAAAAATAATAATTAAAAAACTATAAAAATGTTCAACAATTTAATAATCAATTCGCAAAATATCAAGATAATACTAGATAATCGAATCACGGTAAGATAAAAATAATACACCTAATTTATATTGATAATAATTAGTAAATTTCAGATTGTAATTATAATCACTACCAGGAGCTGACTAATACATTTTGGTCCAGAGTGCAAAATTAATTTTTTTTTAACCTACTAAAATTAGGAAAAAGTTAAATACATGAAATTAAATTTGGACACAGGGTGCTACTTGTTTATAGCTCCCTAGGCTAGTCTGAATTGGCGTCCTATGACGATAAAAACTTCTGTTTTTAAAATGAGAACACCCCCTTTTTAATGTACTCTTATTATTTAGTGGCTTTTTTTTGAAAATTGTTATGCATCTACCTAGCTAGGTAATTTAAAATTCTAATGTGTAGATTTTCAGTTCTTAAAATGTTCGTATTAGAGATAATACTCTGGTCTCTGAGTGTCATAATTTATTATAATCATAGTCCTTAAAAATGATTAAATAACTAGATCTAATATCGGATATTGTATTTATTATACTTGGATCATTTTTATAAATTGTAAATATTAATAGATTAATATAAATTACTAAAATATGTTCAAATTACTATAGCCTCCATATCTTCCAAAATCATTACCTAGGTACTATCTATAATATTATTGTTACGACACACAATTAAATAAACTAAGAATTACTCTTTCGAATTTTGATTTTAATATTTCAAAATTTTCAGAAAAACTATCCTTTAGATAATTTACAGTTGAAAAGAGAGGTTGGTAGTTGAAAAACAGATGATACTCGTCTGTATATCTACAGGACACACCTTCAGAAGTACAATAAATCTCAAGAATTTAACTGCATTACTGTAATAGAAAAGGGGTGAGCTCTCTTGGTGAATAACCCTGTATAATAATGTATTTCCATGGAGTGTATAATATTTATACTTATTATTATGGTGTCGTTGGTTGCTTACTAGTGGTTACACTGACGACTATATCAATTTTTATTTTTCATAATAATTTAATATTTATTTATTTATTTTTATTATTATTCGTGTTTTCTTGGGCGATATAAATTTAATAACACATGGATTTACAGTGATTTGTGTTCATTTATTGTTTGGTTTGACCCATTGGCCCCGAATTATATTATGTATAGCGTATACGAAAGATTTATATATGGGGCGAAGAATATAGCAGAATGGCACTCGCCCTAAAATATTCAACTTTTTATTCGCATATTTTTATTGAAATAGCTGAAAAGTCTGTATATTTTGTGTGATTTTATATAATTTTTTTGAGGAACTAAGCTACTCAGATTACTTTACTTGCTACTTACCATGTAGGTCATAGAGTATGAAAATAAACATTTTTTTTTCAACACAAACACTCCGAGGCAGTCTGCAAGTTTTGGTACTACAGGTTAAACCTTATATTACATTATTACCGTCGTATACCTAACTTGTAAAGATTTTTGACAAAATCCGTACAATTATATAGAGGATATCAATGACAAGTGATGTTCCAAATATTTATAAAATATTGAATAAATTAGGTTTTAGCCATTATGTTAATCTGCTAATAAAGTATTTTTGTATCATATTATTATTATTGTATTATACCCAGCGGATATGTAAATTGTATGAGGGTGACATACCCTAATGTTTTGGTGGTAGGTGGGTGAGTGAAGAATTAATAACAATTTAATATTGTTAAATTATTATATTATGTAATAACCAAAGCGGCATCGACGGAGCATGACATTGCATAATAAACAATATAGGTAGTTAGTATGATTGGAATAATATAATAATTATAATTTATATCTACACCGGTCAGTATTATCGATTGGACTACAATTATTTTAACAGATTAAAAATATATTTCTTTAATCTGTATAAATATAACAAATGCGGATGTACCTGAGACAACGAAGTGTTTTAAAATTTAAATAAATACTATTAACAGTCAGCTTCATTGTTATATTCTATATTATTGTGTTGGTCTTGATTCTATAAACTATTATTTATACTGCTGTGGCTTGTGTGGGGCTGATGTGCGCATCGCGTATCCGTTTATTATGGCGCATGGAAAATATAATAATGTTTAGGCGTTCGGTGCTATATACAGCCGAAAACAATAATATTGAGTGAGTTGAGTTGTGAAAGTGTTGTTTTGCTTACAAATTCGACTGCAATGTTTACGAACATAAATTATCATAACAATATTACGTGTATATTATATATGTCCATATAAATACTAGGAAACAATACAATAATCGGATGATAAAATATTAAGCCATCGAAATAGTGATAAAACTACATTTGCAGGTAGTGAATAAGAAATAATATTTATGGAAAAATTGAAATATAAAAACTGCATTAGGTTATGTTTCTTGGTCATTATAAATCAGTGAGCCACTAACCTTATACAGTTATACCCGTAAGGTTGTGTCTCTTTAAACTATTATAAAATAATGCGCATAACGTAATATTGATGTGCAAAACATATTTTACAAAACAAGCCGAACATTCTTGCAGCAACTGTGTTAGTGCAGTTAATTCTCAGAAATTTTTTTCGTTGGGATAGTCTTCAATATTATTTAATGACCGAAAAAAATTAAATTATGAAGAATTAATTCTCTAGTGGAAAAGGGGATTGTCAAACTTCACTCACTTCGAATTGTACCAGATACGTATTGCAGTTTTTAGTTATTACTCTTATTTTTATTGACGTTATTGTTTTTATAATTATTATTATTCATAGTAAGTAAGCATAATATAAGTGTTAATATTTTTCAAAATATCTTTATATATGTATTGATGCATTTTTAATCAATTGGAGGGGACGAAAAAAGCATTATTGAACAAAATTTGGTTTTAGATATAAGTGCTGGTTACGATTTTCCCCTCTTTTGAAGAAAGATATATTACGCCTCTTCAGACTGAGGGTTTCTTAACCCCCGCCTTAACATCCCTCGAAATCTCGTTTTGACGAGGATTTAATATTCGTATTGGGATTTGATCGGTGGTACGGTTATGCGTATGACACATTTTTAAAACCATGTTTATATTGTACTTTTTTTTATCATCGAAAGTTTATTTTTTGATGCCGGTTGAAGATGACCTTTTTCTGCGGATAGTATAGGCTTTTTTTACATCGTCAGCTATTGGAAAAGCCACTGTACATAGTACATATCATATTAGTGTGAGTGAACATATCGATACGTTTTGTGTAATATTATATCAAGCACTAGCTGGTAAGTGGATTAATACCGTTTTAGTCTCCCGTTCTATGCGTAACAGTTTGCCGAATCTATAGATACTGAGTCGCATGAACAGTTCAGTATGGATTACAGTAGTATCGAAATAAGCGGTTTCTGATACATCAGGGTGTGACAAAAATTATCATGTGTGGCTCGCTGATAGGTTCAAAGGCAATTTCAGTCTTGGGAGATTTCCCTGTGGCCTTCAGGCATATAGGCATCTGCACCATTCATCTGGAAGGTTAGACGAACGGTGGCTGTAAAAATTAATTCATATCAAATATTCGGGATTCATTATATAAATTTGAACTTGACATTGAATAAACTATAATAATTAATAAATTATAGTCACTTCGATAGTTTAATACTCCCCTCTCTCTTAACTGTTGAGAGTCGTAACTTTTAAAAGTTCCGTAGCTCTTAGTTACTTCAGTGGATAACTTATCACTCCCAAATTTTATACAGACACTGGCGTAACTTGAATATATTGACAAGAAATGTGTAGTAGACGAAAAAATTAACTTCAGCCTGAAATCATTTTCCCAAGTCACCCCTGGGCCCCTCGACTGTGGACGATGCTTCACACATCGTCATCCGCAACCGCAGAAATACACCGCTACACACAATCGAATGTGAGCATTTGCTCCATGGACTCAACAATTGCCTCCATAAGTATCAAATGGTACAGAATTTCATGTATAACTGCATGGCAAAAATGCCCCCCTTAAAATCGCAATTGCTCCCTTCCCTGACAATTTGGTCTGGCTACGGGCCTGGTCGAGCGCTATTTATTTTAATTTTCGACGGCGGAAGAACATTTACCGTAGTGTCGACGATTACTCGTAAGAGGCGGCGGACGTGAAAATGTCATAGCTCGTCGCCCGAGACTGCACAGCTATATAGGAGCTCGCGATGATTATTTTGGCAAACGATCACACGATTTTTTGCGGTTCACACTTATATAATAATATAATATATTATAATAATAATATGTATATTTGCAGCACGCGCGACCAATCGACCGAACGCCTCCACCGGCCCCGCAAACGTCGCGTGACGCCGATTCGCGCGTTGTCCCACCGTGACATATGTTATTAGGTACACACTTTACACGCGTCCAGATAGCTATTGTACCGCACCATTAATAATAATATTAATTGTAATTATTTTGGTTTATGTGTGTGTTATTCGCGTCTACCGCGGTTCATATAATTATAAATTATAATATAATATCATATTATTATTATATTATTTTGTCGGCCGTGGCACATACATTATTCTTAAGTATTATATTATGCAGTTTACAGTGTTGTGACATTTTGACAACTTACTGTCGTCGACGAGCGATCCACGGTCTATATTAGGGATATAAATGTGGCAAACCGTGTACGAATTTTATCAGGCCCGTGACAGGAAATGTATTTTTTAAATACTAACTTTAATTTAATTTTCTGATTTTACCTTCATTTTTTTTTTTGAACAAACATGTACATACACAATTGTGCCCTAACCCTTCCCTCCAATGACTTCTTACATTCCTAGAGTGGCCCTCAGAAAATATTGATTGGTTAAGGTCCCTGGTATATACGATCTGTTTAATACCTACCAATAATACTATTGTGAAATACAGTGCCGTTATGTATGATATTAATATTAACAATTCATTTTCACATATTATAGTGATGTATTATCCGAGAACTTGGATTTTTTCATATCACTGGCACATTAATGAATTTTTTTTATGGTCGTAATTTATGAATTCTGCTTGATTTTATATGTACATATTTTAATTTGGTTCTGATTTCTGATACGTAAAAAACGGTTTTGTCTTCATGTTTATTGATCATCCTGTCATTTGAATATATTTTTTTTTATCTTTATTTATTCATACGATAGCTGTACGTGGTGCGTCGCAATCGATAATATTCCTAATTGCTATTTTTATCAATTCATTTTTTATTGTGTCAAATATATTATGTTACACCAGAGTCGGTTATGTATAGGTACTTTCAAAAAATTATCAATTACCTTCTCAAACATATATAATGTATGTGTTACTATCACATTGTAAAGCATAGCTTCACAGGATAAAAGTTCAACTTGAAGTAACGTACATGATGTACCATAGTTAAGTAAATATTGATTGATATGAGTTCAGAGCTCGTAAACAAATTTTTAAATGCTTTTTAATATTTATTATTTTTCAAATTTTTATAAAGTTGCCTGATTTGAAGCCGCTTAACAAGTAGAAGACAATAATCAATCGTATATTTCCTCGCTCCAACGTTAGTTTATAATATTGTAATATAATGTAGGTATCTACATATAAGTATATAACCATTGTTAAATGTATCACAATCACATAATGACGTAACTTAAATTTGTTGTACTTGGGTAATTTTGTTATATAATGTAACCAAGTTACATACAATTTATTAAATATTAAAGGTCAACTATGAACCAAGAAAGGTATGCGTTGACATTATTGACAATTCAATCAGAAATAACAAGTAGATAAAGCAGATTTTGAAAAAATAATTACTCAATAGTTTTAGACTGTATAATAATAAATTATAAGTAGAGTATCCATGAAGTAATTACATTCATAATTTAACAACCTCTACTTTTAAGATTGGCTAGTTAGAATTTATACTAAATACTCATGTTTTAATATTTTTAATACTGGCTAGTATGGATTTACTTTGAATAGAATCATTATTAAGAATTGGATTGGTAGAGATCAGTTATTTTAAAACACACCAATCTTTTGTCCATCATACTGATCTGACTAGTAATGCAATATGATACGTTTGAAAACTGATTTGAATTCGTTATTATGTCTGCTTAAGATTGATCAGTCCACTTATCCCACATTCACCCTCCAACTTCTATACATTTGGTTTGAATATTTTAAAATTTAGGAATTTTTCAAATTCGGTTACATGGAATAAAAATTAGAAATCTTAAAATGTGGACTGATCGATCTCAAGTAGGCATTATAGCGAATTCAGATCAGTTTTCTGAAATATTATCACATTAATATGTCGATATGTAGGATGGACAAAAAGGACATACAAATTAGAATAAATAGTTTACCGTCCACTTGCACAACGGCAAGGCGGTGACATATTCTTGAGTGTGAGGGAGCGTTCTTCTATTTCTTTTACGCGCAGTAGTACACACACTAATGATCGGTTACTAAGCGTCTAAGCATACATGAAAATTGCCTATTTTTAACTCCTTAAAAACGGTCTGCCTTCAATCCTCTTAAATCATTGAAATACACAGGTTTCATCAGGAAAACATGTTTTTAAAACCACTCAGGAGCTAAATTGCGTTCTTATCACAAAATGGTAGTTATGCCTCAAATTTTAAGAAATAACTTTGGGAGGAGGGAGCTAAATGTGTTGCCCCGAAGCTCAAAATGTTCAAACACGGCCCTTCGACCTCTACTACCACCGCTACTTCTTTATATAGTCGGATACAACGACGAGATCAACTTAGCATCACTTAAGGCGGGTTCGAAGCCCATTTACCTACACGTACCTTTTTCAACTTCGGCGTTGATGTTGATGGTGCGCAACCGGAGCTCTTCGTTCTCGTACAGCATTCCTCGGGAGGCGCTCCTGTCCAGCGTCCTGTTCGGCTTGAGGGTTGCGTCGCGGCGCCTGGACCGCAACATGGACGACGTGCCTGCAGGCGGAGCCATACCGCCGCCCAGCAAGCCGAATACCACATCGGCTAACCTCACACTACTGCACAACTCGGGCGGCCGTCAAGCTGCAGCTGCAGCAGCACTCCTGCGGGACGCGACACGCCGTGCCGTTTATATTGTTATTATTACGCCGGCCACGTGCGCGATGTGTTTTGGTGCGGTGCGGTGCGAACCGTTCGCTAGTGCGGTGAGTTTACTGCAATAATGTATACTGCCGCTCTGGCTGTTAGACTGTATTATATAATATTACTATCGTACAGAGTGATATTGATTGATACGGTAGTGATATGATTGCACTCCTATTAGTGCAGAATTGTTCCTTATTTCTACGCCGATCCGGGTTTGCAAAATTACCTGTTGTAAAAAAAAAAAATTGTTTTACGTAATTATTGTCATGATGGCATTTTTACTTCGTTGACGGAATATCAATTAATAATCTGGTTACTCGAATTATGAAATAAAAAATACTGGCTGTAACTATTGTCATTAAGCAAACAAAAAAAATTTCAAGAAATTAAATTATATTTTATTCAGGAAAAAATATAATGTAGCTTATGACTAGCACAGTTAATTTTGTTTTTAAATTTAACACCATAATATTGGCATAATTACGAATGTTAATTAGTCGCAACTAAAATCCATATACTATACATATTTATTGTATATACATATTATGTGATACTATGATAGTGTTCAAAATTTTTGATACCGTTTTGTAAAGTTACTTTGAACTAAATGATTGTTACGATTTATATTATGTTAAATTGTTAACATTTTGCACCAGGTTGGGTTCTACTGTTCAACATAATATTGCAATTTATTAGTACCTGATTGCATTCAATTTTTCGAATTATACAGACACAAGTGTAATGACTTCTAATGCCGATGAAATCGTATGCATTTATAATATTAATCGTTTGATATATAATAAAAACCCTATAGCTATTATAAATATTATATTATACAGAATATGTTGTATTAATTGCAAAATTCTCTAGGTATGAGGAAAGTATAAGTAGTATCGATATTAACAATTTAATATATTTGTATTATCTAAATCTTATATTAATTACAAAAGTCGTTGTATAAATATAATGCAATCCACTTTGAGCAGATTGTTATAGAAGTCATTAAATCAAAATATCTTTGTTTTTAGAAGTTTCAGTTGAACTTATTAATAATGCTTATATACCCTACCATTGTTAAAAGCCGATCGCCTAAAAATAAATAAATTAACCCAAATAATAATATATAGTAGACGTATACACGATTTTTGAATACGCGCAGATAGGTACAACCTCTTTGTTTCTGGTGTTTTGTTATATCTTATTTATTATATAGGCATACTGTCCTGGCTTCTATATAACCTCGCAGATTAGAAGTTGTACCTATCATCGTACGATTGATCGCAATTTTTTCGAATTATGCAGTGAAATGTGCAGCGACCTATAACGATTACATCTTTTGCGTATAATAACTCAACAATTGATTGAAACACAACAAAAATACCATAGACATTATAATATATTATATAATTGTATACGTTATTTTCGTACAGAAATTAATATTACAATAGTCACTCTACAAATATAATGTAATCGACTGTGGGTAGTTTGTTTTTGATAGTGTCTGGCTTAAAGTATCTTTGTTTGTTGAGCTACGAGTTAAACTTATGTTTTTATACTTCTGTAATTCTTAATATAATATAGTACAGAAACGGGTTTTTGAATACGCGCTGCAGGCACCTTTTTATTTTTGCAATTTTGTTGTCGTCGAACAACTCTGAGCTATATGATGTCTGAGATGAAAATATTACAAAAAAATATAGCATCGATCTTATACAAAGCTGCATTTCAACGACCTATGTATACAATGATAAAATGAATGTTACAATATTATATAATAAACTTAGGTACCTATCTCGCTGACGAATATAGGTAACAACAAAATATATTTTGGTAAAAAAATATTGTCAAACCGTGTACAAACTAACCACGTACATGCAAATACCTATAATACACGTCTTCAAGTATTTACTTTTAAGTTCTATTATTCGAATTATTGTGTAGGACTTAGGTAATATGCATATTCGAACGACGACGACAGAGGTGGTTCTAGACTTCTTGTGCTCAACTTTTGAGTGGATATGAAAGTTGTATAAGTTATAAGTAAGCGATTGTCACGATCTAAAATCCTAAATCCTTATATTATTTATGTTGAATATTATGATTTAATTTTACAATATTTTATAATATAATATTATTAGACTTCACTTTGATGATAAAAGAATTTTAAAAAAATCATTATGTTTTAGTAGATAACTGTTTAAGTGTTGGAAATTATTTTAACAAAGTGAGCAAAAAGAACTGATAAAAAACAAACAAAATATTTTCATTCTGTCGATCGATAATATCACATCATTTACTTTATTTATCAAAACGAGTGACCCGACGTTGAACTTTTTAACAGATGCAAAACACCAAAAAACTTGGTACGGACAGCTACCCACCTTACCCGCGTATACGCTAGAACCGACACTGGACGACGACGTCAGCGAGAAACGGCTTATTGCCATGGCCTCGCCAGCAAAACTCGTGCACTCGGCGCGCGACGCTCGTTTACCGCCCGAATGACATAAAATAATATTAGTCAGGGTTATCCAAAATGATTCAAATGAATTCAAATGTTTCTAAATTTTCAGTTGACAAAATATGAAAAAAATTTATCCAGCCAAGCAGACAAAAAAAAATAAATTCTGATTATATTATAATGTACGTTCTAGAGTTGTAATTTATCATTTTTAGTAACGTCAGCAATTTTGATGGTCGGTGAACAAAATGTCCAGATTCCGTGAACCCACATTCATCAAAAATATCAATTGGTTATCCTTGGTTTAGAGTAATATAATATGATAGGTACATTAAATAAAATAAATAATAATGTTGTTTAAACTTCCAAATTTATTTGATGGTGCCCATAAAATGTGTAGCTTCCCTTGGTTACACTACGTAAAACATATATGATGATTACATCTAGTCCGAAACAAAGTTAATTCCACTTCCACGGTTGATAATCATTGTGGTATGTACACACATTACCTCTAACATATCTCCAAAAGAAGCAGTTACATGGCGTAAGATCAGATGATCTAGAAAGCCAGGTGCAAGACAACGGATGATTTACTTTGGATAACCTTGTGTAATGTTATATTGCACAAACATTAAACAGACACCTACGAACACGACTACGATAATAGTGGCTATAGATAAAAAATGTCCACCGAGAAATCGTCCATGTACGAAAATGGCTAAATACATAATATAAGATAATGAAATAATGTTGTGATAATAAATTAGATTCAAGCTTAAATTTAATAACGACCTTTCAAGGTAGGTTCGCATTAGCCTAGTAGGATTTTACTTTAATATGCATTGACATTCGAGAGGGAGATATAAAGGCTCCACCCCAATTGTCAAATACTTCATATAATTGATTAACATACACCGAGTCATCTGTATACTATTATTACCAGATTACCCAGATATACAATTATTTAAAAATTTGTTTTTCAAATTTAATTTGTACTTGTTTGTTGCTATAATGACTTCGATTTATCCATGTCATCATTTCAAATGAACCTAGGAATTGCACTTTTAAGACTATCGCGATTTAATATTTCAAGTTTCATTGAAATCAGTTCATTGAGTATAAGAGGAAATAGCTTTAATCAATTGAAGTACGAGTGGGAGAGGCTTTACTTCGCTCCTCCTCAATATTGTTTTAACAATAATAACACATTTTATAAGCGTGGGCAGACTTATTTCAAGTTAGATGCAGCAAACATTTCTACCTACCCATTTCTCTTATACATATATACAAACTGCTTACCATGGTAATTTAATTTTAAATATAGATAATAATAATTTTATTTTGATATGTTTAAATAAATATTAAACGGTGTAATAAAACTATTATAATGCTTACCTACTTATTATATTATTAATCTTGAATATATTTCATTGGTTTAATACTTTATGTAACCACAGATATTAGAAATGCTCAGGCTATGATTTACTAATTCATCGGTCCAATACAAAAATTTCAAATTAAATCATAACTATGATTATTAATTGTCTACATTTTGCTTCTAATCTGTATTAACTTCTCGTAAACACTTTCTATGTATTATGGTTTGTACACAAAAAGTAATTTTGTATTTCATTTGTAAACCACGGGTATCGGGTTGTTGAATCATAAAATAAAATTTTGTTCTTTGTTTATAATTTAATTAATTGTTAAAATGTTTGTGGCTACACATTTTTAATAAAAAATTGTTAATTTCACAATCTACATAATATAGAGGAGCCTGTCTCTTCTGGGCCGGTAATGGCTTCAAGCGCACACTCTGCTGCACATGCATGTGCAATTTGCATCCCACACATCTATAATATTTATATAGGTACACGATGCCATAATATTATAATCTACTGATAATATGATACTCATTGCGCATAATCGATTAAACAAAAAGTATAATATTTGTAGTTTTATTTTTTATAGGATTATAACAATGTTTTTTTTCAAGAGAGTCGAGAATAATAAATAATACGATTAAATTGTGTATATTTTGGTGTTTAAAAAACATGTACACACTCCTCCCCCCCCCCAACATTGCAAGTTTCGCAATAACTTACATATTATTGTACAAAAACTCGAATTCCTCGAGATTGACTTTTCATCCATTTGATCAACCCAACTGAGACTTAATATTATAATTTATAATCTACATAATACCACATTAAAGCCAAATTTTATGAAAATTCCAATTCTATATTTTGATTAAGCATCAATAACTATTATAATAGGTATTTATATTCGAGCGCTGTACAACAGAAGTCTATAATATTTAAATATATTTAAAAAAAAAATCTGTTTCAAAAATGATTCCTGGTGAACCGCTGGAAATCCAATGATAGTTCCGTTCCGTTGTAATATGTTCGTAATATATTTTACTTTGTGATTTTTAATCGCTTTCGGATACTTGTTTGTGTTAAATGTATTACTATACTCGCTATAATATTATATGATATAACAATCCCGTTCGAGTGGATTGTCCGAACCCCACGGGTAAGTATATATACGAAGCATCACCCTACACGTGCAATTTAATCGTATATATATATTGCATTTCTTTAATCTTATACTCTCGACCTTAATATTGAGCTGACCCTCGTCTTGTTTCTCTCGATATAATAACATATAGATGACGTCGAAAATCGAAACCGTCATTCGTTTTTGCGAACCACGATTGTATACTGTATAGACATAATAAATTACATACTTTTGTTCATATA